AAAACTTATCAAAAAATGAACACGCTCAAAGAAAAGTTGTGAGCTATGGAAAGAATCGATTTTTATGGTTTCACTAGACTTTGTTTAGTCCCATACATTATCATTCTTTTGAAATTTAAAGTTTCAGAGTTTGAAAATATATGATGGTACAAAATATCCTATCACACATGTTACGATATACTATCGAAAGATAGCAACCTACACCAGTAATGAGAAGCTGAAAATTCATGTGTTTCAAGATAACTTATTTAGTTTTGTTGTGATATGGTAAGTTCAGCTTGATAAAACCCACATTTACTTTTAGAAGGAGCTAGTCCCTGTTTTCATTAAACAATATCGCCATTATAGACTTAGCTCTTGATTGCTTTTTCTTACAAAGTATGGAAAAAAGGTGACAGAGTAATTAAACAATATGCCCAAAAGTGAAGGGACATAGCTGTATAAGTTTAACCACTTTTGATTGAAAAAAAATTACAGTGCTATTTGTAAGTATTTTAAGATCTTTCTATTATAAAAAGTAATAGAAAATGTAACAAAAAATTTCACCGACATTGTAATATCAGGTGAAATCACAAAAAATACCATAAAAATGGCAAACTAGAGGTAGAAGAGTCCTCTACTACTAAAAAAGCACCCAAAAATAAAAAAATGAAACTTAAGCTATGAGTTTCGAAAAACGATAGTTTAGAAATTATCCTCATTATCCAGCATGAGTATATCCCACATATTATGCTAATGTGAATATTGCATCTTACCTATATCAACCAATTCCACCATCATCCCACCCGTTCATATATAGACCAACATATAGATTGCCTACCAACATATATAATTAACCTATTACAAAACCTCTAGTCCATTCAACCAACCTAATAAATGGTTTTCAAAAGCCATGAAATATAAAAGAAAAACTTACCTTTGATCCCATCTCCATAATCTATATCGAGTTATTTCAAAAATTCATTAAAAATCATTTACTCATCCCTATCCATGTATAACCACTTAAATCTCCCTATTTCAAATAATATGATTTTATTGCTCACTATGACTACCATTCTGGAAACGCTGGGCATTCAATTAAAAATTACACTGTTTTAAAGCATAAGGTGCATAGACTAATCAAATAAAGGGATGGTTAGTTTTGATACAAGTTGAATAACAACACCAAATGCTAGCGGCAACCCCTTGCCCAATCACAATGTTAATGCTCTGAGTGAGGACAAAGGGCATCATGTAAAGAAGAGGGTGGAAAAAATTAAAACTCCTTTTAGTTAGCCATTTAATGCCTTGTATAAGGTCGATATGATACATCTGGTGGATTCACATACTTACCTTGGAAGATGTGTGCCAAATCAAATATACAAGTACCATAATGGGGTTTATGGCCATTCCATTGACTTAGGTGAACAGTTCTACCATGAGGTACAAAAGTTTATAGATTCGTACCAAATTGAATTTTTTTAAAAAAGAGCAGACCGAGTTGAGCATTGATGAAGCTTTCACAAAAAGAATAAAAGGGATCAAGAATAAAAAATATAAGTCTACTCATGCCCACTAGGCTATGAGCTAAACAATTGTATTATTATCTAAATAACTGTTATCTTCGAAACCAATCCAATGTAATTATAACTCCCAATCATTTATGCCCAAAGGCATTAGGATAATCTTTTATATATGGGCCATTTATTTATTATTATTTTAATAAAATAATATGAAGATATATTTTCATTCATTTCTTCCATTGCTCTCATTTTTCGCTTTCATTAAGCCAATACATCTCGTTAATATTTTTCATTTTATTCAAATTCAGGTCTTCAAATAAATATGAAGATAATCATGATAACAATTTAGGATTCAATTTTGAAAGTAGCATTCATGTTGACTTGATTGATGAGTTAATCTATTGGGATTATGAAATAAAAGAAAACAAATCCAGTAAAAAATTTTGCTCATTGAAAGATGAAAGTGATACCATATGTGATCTTTGTAATAGTTTGGTCACTAGCCTGCTTTTAGTTAATAAATGTTCTTCATTGAAAGTATTCATATTTGAAAGTATTCATATTTGAAAGAAAAATTATCATCTTTTTTTTACTTTTCATAGAATAAGTAAAATTATCTTTTACTACCTCATTTAAGCCTATTAAATTTTTTTTTAAAGAAACTCTAACTAAAAATCACCTCTACACTGAGGAGGAAATTTAAAAAACATGCCCATTAAAAAAGAAGGGAAAAGTGAATGTCCTTTGTGATTTCAAGAGTAAAGTTTGAAAAACATGTCCATAAAAAATGAAAAATGAAGGCCTTTAATGATTTTAGGAGCAAAGCCCTTTTGTGCTTTGATCTTTTTTGAAAAAAGTGCAAATTAAAAAAAATTAAAAAAATGAAAAATAAAAAAAAAGGAATGAAATAAAAGGAAGAAGAAGAAAAAAAAAGAAAAAGAAAAAAATTAATGGGGTAAAATGTCAAAGTGGTCCATATAAAAAGAAATGATCATTGGTTTGATTACCATTTAAATACATTTTGAACCATTTTATCTATTTCTTTTATAACTCCTCACCCTAACCTACATTACGACCCTTAAATATCTATTTTAATCAAATATGAATATTCAAATTGGAGAATTATAAATTGAATTAAGGCATATATTGTAATTGGATTATTTGAGATTTTGAATGAGATGTTACTAATGGATCAAAGAGAAAAAGAGATAAGGAGGAAAAATGAGAAAAAGATGTGTAAGGAAAAAAAAGAAAGAAAGGGAAAAAAAGAAGAAAAAAATGAGAAAGGAATAAAAATAAAAAAAAGAAAAAGAAAAGCTCAAATCGAAAACCTAAAAAGGCAATTTGAGTAAAAATAAGGTTTATCTAAGTTGAAAACTTGAAAAGTTGGCTTAGATGAGAATAATACAATAACATGAAAGCTAGCATATTTTGAGGAGCTCATATTTTAAGTGCATCAAGTAGTTAAGTTTTTGAAATGAATTTAAGATGTGTTATCATGATTATCTGATTATTCATTTTGGGTTCTGTTGTCCTAATAATCCATCTTTGTAATTTTTCCCTTTTAATTGTTTAGAGCCAAAATTGTTCTATCATTCTTTTTAAATAATAGGTACTTCATTTCATTCCTTGTTCATTCTAAAGCCTATGTCTCATTCTCAGTCCATTCCTATTCTTTTCCTTTAAATACCTTGCAATTGAAGAAATGTGTGATTGCATTTTACTTCTTGAAATTGAAATAGTAATTGGTAAATGAATAATAGCATGAAAGATTACTATACTATCTTGGAAAAGTTGAAAGTGATAAAGGCAAAGATGAAATGTTCAAGGATTGATAAGGACACTAAATTTGGAAATGGAAAAGAAAGATTTCTTTAAAAGAAAGATATGAGTGAACATTGAATGAGAGTGATGATTGAGAACTGAGTTGGTTTTGCTTTATTGCTAGAAGCTTGAAGAGTTCGAAATCCAAAAGAGAAGAGTCTTGAAAACCTATGTACCACAATTAAAAGAACACTAATTGACATTTGCATCACATGCATTGCATGTAGGAATGTCTAATGCAAGAATTAAGGAAATAGGAATAATACAAGATCTAGTGTGGATAAGGTAAGTATGAAGACTTTCTAGTGAAAGAACTTTTAATTCTCATTGAAAAGAAACTTCTAAGGTGAGATTCTAATTCTTAAAAAAAAGATATTTCAAGAACTAGCCATGATTGAGGAAAATTTTCTAAATATTTAAAGTTGTGTTCCTTTATTGATGAAGAGCCCTTTATGTTTAAAGTTGTGTGCATCTATTGATGAGGAGCCTTATTTTTAAAGTTGTGCGCCTCTATTTTTAAAAAACTTGTTATAAATAAAAAAAACAAAAAAAAGAGTGAATAATTTGGACCTAGACGTAATAGATTATTTATGTCTTCACACAATTTCTGTTGCACAGAAAATGTACAAAGAGGGGTAATTGTAGACATTTTATTTGATTAGGACTCAAACCAATTGAGCCTAAATCAATTGGGCCCAATCTGATCAAGCCAAATTCAATCTAAGCCTAATTTTCTATATTTTTTTTTATTTTTTTATTTTATGGTTAGATTTTTATGCTTTATTATCTTTATCATTATTTGATCCATTTGTACATATTTTATGTTGATTATTCATTTATTTGTTAATTATTTTATTATTAAATTTTTCTTTACCTTATTTTTATTTATTTGTTATTTTTATAAATTTATCTTTAATTTTTATATTATTTGATTAGGTATTTTCATAAAAAAAAAGAGATAATAGATGGCCGAAAGCCAATGAGGGGGTATGATTGGTGATGAAATTGAAATTGAATTATTATTCTTAGGTGATAATTTATTGAAATTGAATATAAAGTCGTGAAGATAGGACTCAATACCAATCCGGTGGTGAGATAAGCTTTTCTTGAAGAATTTGATCATTATCAAAATACTAATCAAGCTAAGACATTAACTTATAAAATGACTTGCTTGATAGTCTTTTTCTCAACTTTCGTAACATCAAAAGACCAAATGTTTACTTAGAATTTTATAAGATTTTATTTTAATTTTATAAAGTCAAAATAAGAAAATTAACTTGTTTTTATTAATTTTAAAATTTATGATTTTTTTAATAATACTTTTTTATTATACTAATTAATAAAAATTCTAATAAAACTCTCTTTTTAATTTTCACAATCTCACTTTCCGGTAATAAATTTTCAAAAAGTAGTATATCTTTTTAGAAATAGATTTCCAAAAAATCATATATTTTTTCAAAATTTTTTGAAAATCTATTTTTGAAAATTTATAAAACTTACCAAAAATGAATATACAAAAATTTATAAAAAATAATTTTATAAAATATATAATTAACTTAAAAAAAATTTTAAAAAACAAATTGAGGTGTAAAGAGGAGAAACGGGTTGCATTTGGCTCACCTCTTTTTTATTTGTAATGTTTTCCAATTAAAATTAAAAAAAAAAAAAATCCTCTATTGTAGTCATATTTACAAATAGGGAACCAAAGCACGTTGTGTATGAATCAGCCGCCAAAAGTCACCTAATTTTCGGGTCAAACAACCTCCAAAGTCACGAATACAAATTCATTTTCTGTTTTGCTGTTTTCATGAAGGAAAAAACATGGATTATTAAAAATATTAATTTGAAAGATTTAGTTTTTTCTCCAAATTGTTTTCGATTGATTTAGAATGGAAGCTTCGAGTTCTCGAATGCAGACGTTTGGTCAGACGGAGATTAATTGGGACAAGTACGTATCACCAATCTTTAAATTTTGTTCAAGTAATTTTAAAGTTTATTTCTTTTATCTGATTGGATTTTAGTCTGTTTTTAATCTTTAATCGTTTAATTTATTATTTCTGTAATGAATTGTTTGAGCTATTTTCATTTTCTCCAAATTTAACCGTTAAGTTCATTACTAAGATTTGAGATTCTTGTTCTAATGAAAAGAATTACTCCTTCCTAAAGAAAAATTTTAATTGTTGTTGATCTTTAAGTCAAGGTTTGGGGTTTCGATTGGTTGATTTCACTCTTTTTTTTTTATTAAGCTTAGGTTTTGTGCATTATGTTGAGTTTTAGTTTATTTATTTTGGCGTGCAAATGCTTAATGGGTTAAATCAAGATTTAATTTTTTTATTGAACCGTTCAAATGATTATATCATTTCCTATAAGATAGTTTTTGGATTGTTTTTACTTTAAAAAATTCGTTACGGATATTAATGTTGTTTAAGAAATTAGTGATGTGGATAGGATTTTAGATGAACAAAGGTGAAAAGAGAAGAAAGAAATAAAGTCTTGGGATGCTTGTACAAATCATAGGTTTTTGTAATGGATGAATGCTGCCTTTGTAATTGTGAATGGATCATGAGGACATGTCTTGAGGCTTTATTCTTGTTGTCTGCTTAATGAACTTTGCCCTTTTCTTGCAGTAAATTGCACTGTATTTCATCTAAATTTGATCACTTTATTAGCTGATGGAACCTCATTCGGTTAATGATGAAGAATTTTGAATATGATAAAAATTAAGCAGTTGAAGTCTTAAGGGCAATCCTTCTTAGATGTGTTTTTGAGTTGCTTCTTGATATCTTGATTGTTATTTTAGGGTCATCAAAGAGTCTGAGAATAGTTTCCCTTTTCTGCTGTGAATTCTTTTTGTTTGTAAACTTTTCATGCTTATTAGTTTCTCCTGTTGATGCAGACTCGACAAAACCAAATTTTACATTGTAGGAGCTGGAATCTTTACTGGAGTAACGGTAGCATTGTACCCAGTCTCTGTTGTAAAAACTAGGCTTCAGGTTGCTTCAAAGGACACTGTTGAGAGAAGTGCATTTTCTGTTGTCAGAGGCATATTGAAAACAGATGGAATCCCTGGTCTTTATCGAGGGTTTGGAACAGTCATCACTGGTGCGATTCCAGCCAGGGTTATATTTCTTACTGCTCTGGAAACTACAAAAGTGGCTGCTTTCAGAACGGTTGAACCATTAAAATTTTCTGAACCTACACAAGCAGCTATAGCAAATGGAATTGCTGGAATGGCAGCATCACTATTTTCTCAAGCTGTTTTTGTTCCAATTGATGTGGTCAGTAATTCAGATTCTTACATGACAATTTTACTCTCTTCTAGCTTAATTTAGCGTTTTCTTTTATTATATAAGCAAAATTGCTTGCCCTCATACATGCTGCAGCCTTCTCTTTCTTAGTTCAATGAAATTATTCTCTGTTTCCCCAAAAAGAAAAAAAATAATTTCATGGTTACATGTATAATGTATAAATGCATAACCTTTTTAATTGAGATCCTGCTAGAAGTTTCTCATAGTAGATGTCTCAAGATAGTCTTTGAAATGCTCTAATGCAGAGTAAATTTCACTCCTCCAATTAAAGATGCTGTCCTTTTTTCTCTTTTTTCTCTAATTAAAAATGGAAAAGAGATGCTGCATAAATTTTTTTCTCATGAATTGTGCGCAGATTAGTCAAAAGTTGATGGTACAAGGATACTCCGGCCATGCAAAGTACAATGGGGGTCTGGATGTTGCTCGTAAGGTTTTGAAGTCTGATGGAATCCGAGGGTTATACAGAGGATTTGGTCTGTCAGTCATGACTTACTCTCCATCCAGTGCTGTATGGTGGGCTAGTTATGGTTCAAGCCAACGTGTTATTTGGAGGTTTGATGTGATTGTTTTTGTTTTTATCTTCTCTCCTTTGTTTTGGGGTGGTTAATTTTCTTCATTGAAAAAGGGTTGAATGCACTTTTAAATCTGGTAACCTTAGGACTTAGTGCAAAAGTATTGCCTTTAGATCAAACAAGTTGCTAAAGACACTTATTCTTAGATCAAACGGGGGCTTCTAAAGGGGATGGTTTTTTATCCATTATGATTTTGGGTGTGACAGAATTTCTGGCATTTGATACATTCTTCTTGACTTAGCTCTGCGTTACTATGTGTACTATCAATTTTTTAGGTTCTTAGGCCATGGCACAGACCTTAAGGAAGCTGCTCCTAACCCATGGACAATAGTGTCAGTGCAAGCTGCTGGAGGAGTCATTGCTGGTGCTACTGCTTCCTGCATAACAACTCCATTGGATACTATTAAGACTCGCTTACAGGTATTCTTAGGACCTTATTGACATTAAGTTTTCTATGTATTTTCCTTCCTCTCCTTGTTGACTGCTACATGTGTCCTTTTTGCTTTGCATTGTAGGTTAGATCATTCCATTCTCGAAATCAGAATTACACTTTCTTTTGATAATTTATGTGGTATTTCCTATCACAACAATTTTCTGTCTGATTATTTGAAGGTTGAAGGACCTTGTCTTCTCAAATAAGAACTAGAGCAAATACCCATTTTTTTCATGTTCAAGATTTATATGGTGGTTGCTTGGTCAAAATTCTGTATAATTTTTTGGTGTTGTTAATTTTATTTTTGTTAATTCGTTGTTTCTGCATTCTAGGTAATGGGGCATGAGAAGCGACCCTCTACAAGACAAGTTGTGAAAAACTTAATCGCGGATGATGGTTGGAAAGGTTTGTATAGAGGGTTGGGTCCGAGATTCTTCAGTATGTCAGCATGGGGAACCTCAATGATATTGGCATATGAATACCTGAGTATGGATCCTTTATTCTCTTTTACTTTTTATACCTTCTTTTAATGTTAAACACAGTGATGTAATGTGTAAAGGATAATGACCTTTAACTTCTGGACTTTGATAACTGAACCTGTTAAATGCAAATTATATTCTGTGTTCTTTAGAGTTTATGCTTTGTTGGTATTATTATATTTAGAATAATCATTTGTTCTTTGTACCATAAGCTCATTTACTGCCATCTAAATGACTTAGTTATAGATCTACATTCTGGATATCAATGCTGATAGCTGCTATGAGTCATTTTGGTTTCATTTGTGTATATATTGTTTCTCTTCATTTAGTCATGCTTATATAGTTCCCTCCAAGTGTGCTTTTTTATTTTGTAGTCCCCTGCTCCTCTTCTGTGGATGTGTGCTTCAATTTGCACTTCTAAGGCTGCCATTGTCTTTAATTCGTGTCGTCTGCTTTCCTTCCAGTTATAAGCTGGACTTAGTCTGAAAACTTTTTGTTTCTCTTTCAGAGCGCTTATGTGTGAAAGATGACTAAAAGTGACTAACAACTGTGAAGAATTTTGCTTCTTGTCACATGAAGAGCAGAGATTTAGGCTGACTGGGAGTCGCTACATTTGTAAAGACTGCTTTGCCAGACAGTCTCAAAGATTATTTTCTTTAATTCTCGACATCATGGCCTGCGATTGTGTAGCAAATTTTGGTTATCTTCTTATAGAAACCAACTTAACGATGTCTTTAAAGAGATTAGTCATTGATTTTTTAACAGACACAATAAGATTCTTTGATGCTTGATTTTTCATTTTAGGATAAAATAACTACCGACAATTAGAAACTGAAGCAAGTAGTTCAGTGTATCTCTCTCAAAGGGCAATATAAGTTGTACCTTTACGCAGATTTTTAATTGATTTTTGTTTTTGGATATTTAAATGTATGTTCTGCTTTCTATTTTTTAAAATAATGGAAATAAGTTGTTTTGACATTTGCAAGCTAGTAATAGGCAAATGATTCAAATATATGATTTTCAGTCATCCAATAGTTGCTCAAGATGACAAGTGGTTTGCAAGCAACCGTATGGAAAAATACGTGAATAATACTGCCTGCTTATTCTTGGAATGAAACTATGGGTTTAATGATGGGATTTCTTTCTGTTTTAATATTTGAGGCTGTCAGAATTGAACCTGATAGTAGAACTAAGAGGTTGGTACTTTAATAACAGACCACACGATTGTAGACGTTTTTCATTGCATGAAAGCAGCTAATAATGCATAGAATGTCTTACTTCCAGCAGCTTACTTACGTTTTAGAAATCCAAATTTACAAGATCTTAGGCCGCAACTTATTCTTCCACTCTTGATCTTGTTTCTTTCATACCCTGTCATGATAGAATGAACTGAACAGCTGATTTTTCTGGTTTTATTCTTTTATTGTTTTATAAACAAAAGTAAAATAATTTGCAGATCAATAGAAAATGCTAAAATTCTATCTTTGAACTCAGTTTATGGGTGTAGCAAGGCCTCCAGTCTCCACTCTTCTATTTACACAACTTGCAACTGGTGAATTCAGATTCTAAGTGGTTTTTCCATTACAACGGAAAAGTAAAACTCATCCTCCTGCTTATCAGTCTTTGGGACAATCGTCCATAGCAGCTTTTTATAATCTAGCCTGGAAAAATCATCCAAATAGATCTGCAAGTCATCCCTTTTACTAAAGAAACGATCTACCCAAAGAAGTCCTTTAGGTCGAAGAACAGGGTCCCAATCAAAAAGCACAAACTGGAGAAGTTCTATTCCAATCCATCCATCCAGGAATAAAGTAGAATGTATAATATCAAGTGTGTTATCAAAGAATGGCAATCTCGAGCCATTTGATAGGTTGAGGGGTAACAGACATCTGAGTGCAATCACCTCATTAAAAGGAGCCCCTAAGTTTAATGTAGCTGATGCAATTGTCACATTTCTTTCCCTCATTAGTGCAGCAAATGTGCAGGTTGCGGGGCTAAAACAAGTCCAATCCTGATCTCCCCTGACTTCAATCTCAGAACTTCATCTACGGTGAATTCGGCTGAAGTAGATTCATTTATTTGGATTTCCCACCCTCTTTTTGAAAGATCGAAACAGTTTGAACATTTGAAGAAGCCTCTTTTGCCCATTGTTTCATTAGAAACAAGACAGGAGTAACCTTTGCACTTGTAATAAAGTCCATAAGATATTGTTATCACTAGGTTGAGACCAAAGGGATGAGTTTATAGACAGTGGCTTGCTGTAATATGGAGGTGTTTTTGAGAAGCATCTTCTTCTTGGCAATCCTCATAAGCTTCTGAGCAACGTCCCAATCATCAGACCACGTCCTATAGATCTTATAACTCATGAAGCGATCTACATTTGAGGCCATACTGGCACAAAGGAGTCCTACAGATGGATTAATTGCTTCCACCCCAAGGAAGTTTTTCTTCCCAATCAGCCTATTTGGTTTCTTTGCAGTTTAGTTATAAAGCTCACCTGAATTAAAATGATGACTGGATCCTTCTTCGATTTCACTTTCGTCAGGGTCGCTGAAGTCTGCATCCACAGTGGTGATTTCATTCGTACCAATAGGACTGCAGCCATAGAAACCTGACAAGGCTACCACAAACTTGTCTAAAGGCATGGCAATATGTAGAAGTTGATCAGAAAATTCAGTTAGTGTTTTTGATTCTGAACTTGCACCATGAAGCTGCTCCAAAAGAATTCCAACTTGGCTTTGCAAGCCAGAGATTTGTTCCCGAAGTGAATGAGGTAAGACAAATTGGCCTTTGGAGATACCGACAGTGAAGCTGGTTCTTCTGAAGATTAGCTGGGGATACATGATGTTGGAACTAGTTCAGCAAATTAATCTTTCAATTCAACAGATTACAGAAAAACTGTTAATCAAATTTTTTTTTGAATATTATTATTCTTTATATATTTATACTACAGGAGATCAAATTCTAAAAATAAAATTTCGTATCAACTATGAACCATTCGATGTAACTTACATTGAACTTAAAATAATTGATCAAATCCTTATACAAAACCTATCTTTTAATTTAATCAAAGATTTCTCTGCCTTTATTAAACCCCATTTTCATAAAACTGTAAAAAATAGCCACTATTTTTTCTATATACACTTTACTATCACTAATCTTGGCTGTTACTAGAGAGAAATTAGATTTTCCTGTTCTTTACTTTTTGTTTTGCTCTTCCCAAGGTGTTTGACTTGCAAAATACTACTTCCACCCTGTAAATGTGGACATCTTGGGAACTTTGGATCTTTGATAATCTCAAAGTGGTAAACATTGTTTTCGTTAATGGCTTGATCTGATTAAGAGGTGTTTAATTGCGGTTGAAGCAATGACCTGTTTGGCTGGCACTGATCAGTACATTTGGAAGCACTTTCAATGCCCCAGAAATAAAAATAAACTACTTGGTCAATTTAAACAACCAGACTTTGTTATGAAAGAATATATATAAGATGTGAAGCATAACACATGGTGCTGTAGACTGCTCGTATACAGTGATGGCTAATCTGAACATGTTTGGACAAAGTTTAAGAAAAATGTTAAAGACTCTAATTGCAGATCATGAATTCCCAGATTCCTTCTCTCTCAAAACTTCATCAAAAGACGACCAATGAAGTGAAAAGAAGCATGTGCATCTCTGATTATCTAAGACCCATCTAAAACACATAGCTATTGATGTGCATCTCAATTACAAACTTGGTCTTCTTCATCGTCTTCACCATCCTCCTCAGCATCTTCATTTTTATCGTTTTCTTTATCATCACTGTTGTCATTAATGTCATCAGTCCCATAGTCATAGCAATCATCATGATTGTCACCATCTTTTCTACCTAGCTTGGCATATTCCTCAAGTGATGTAGACGGAAAAATTTCACCTACCCTACCATTTTCCTTGTTGGCTTTGATATTTGATGAACCTTTAGATTTACCTCCGTTCATCTGTTACAATAAAAAGGGTCAACATTGCAGCATTTTGCAGAAAAAAGAAGTAGAAAATAACAAAACCTAGGAGAATGAATCTAAATGAGGTAATTATTCTACCAAAGAGAAGTTATGTGTCTTAGTAGCTACCAAATACCATGTTGGAGATCTACCAAGAACAACTTCAAATACATATGTCCTACTAAGCTAAGAGCACTTCACACAACTAAGAAAAGAACAGAAGTTTAAATTATGGGTGTGAAATATGTAATTCACCAACAAGAAGAGCAGCTTTTAGCATTTAAAACTAGCCAATAGGAGGTCACTGGAAGTATGTTTAGCACATTCAAAAGCATGCTGAATTCCACATGCGAAGAGTCTTCCAAGCCCCAGTATTTTTCTTCATGATTATGTTGATGATAGAACGAACACAAAATCAACCTTGATTCACATAATAATTTTAAGTAACTTACACAAAATTAAATACGTACCTACTACCTTTCTACTCAAGCAGAACCTGGAGACAGCATCCTCAGAAGTGTATGAATGAAGTTTGCACCCTATGCCTTGTTAAACTAACAGAGACTGAATTGTTTTTCTAGCTTAGGTATATCTTTGCTATGAAGTAGATAACAGCCAGTAGCAGGTTACGCTACATCTAATTTAAGAATTAGCCAATCTCAATCATTAGAAATTTAAGCAAATTTTATATCAAACAAAAACGGAACAACATTCAAGTTATTGAATGCCATATCTCTAAGCATTTATTTAATCTTTCCTTCTAGTGTTATATCAAGAAGAAATTGTTGAATCTGGAAGTGTATACCACACTGAGCTCGATTCAATGATATAGTTTAAAAACCATACTCAGAAGAACTGATCAACAATCATGCCTCCAAGGTAGACAATTTGATCTCCATCAAGAAACCCTTAGTTAAACCATTCACAACCATAGCTTACGATAAGGAGAATATTTATATTTCATAATGAAAAGGTAAATCCCTTCTATGCTTTCGCTATATTAGAAATTTGGATCCCAAACACATTTGATCACACATCAACAAAATTATAATTAGTTGGATAGAACTCCTGACTATTAACATAACCATGAACCATCCCATGAATTGCTATCATCAAACAGCTTATTCTTTCCTACGCAAACTCAGTTTTTCATAGCAAATACAAATAAACTACATAATTTAACACAAGAGAGAATCATTCTCAGACACTTACAGCACGTAATAGTGTCCTCCTATCCCTCTCTCGAGCATTCTTTATTGCCTGAAACAGCATTCATCAAAATTATACAAACCATCAGCACAAAACTAACACCTGATATTTGCATTAACTCATCAAAAACAAAAGATATCGCTGCAAACCAACCTCCTCAAGCATCTTTTGCTCTTCTTCAACCTCCATAGAGTCCCTATACAAATAACACAGTAAAAGAAAATTAATGCGTGGTCTTTTGCTCAAATATGTATATTGGAAATGAGAAATCAAAACAAACCTTCCAACTATCTGATCAACATGACATCGACACTTAGCGCATACTTTTTGCTCCTTAGCACATCCTATAACAAAAATACATCCCAATCTATTAACTAAACAAAAAAAAAAAAAAAAGAAATCACCGTTACTGCCCGCCCTCTCCCCACCCCCCCAAAAAAAAAAAAAATTAAAACATTCCCTACTAAAAAGAACAACCTCTGACATACAATTAGCTCAGTGTAACTAGCCAATGTTCCAAGGGAAAGTTTTCTGTTCTGTTTTTTTTTCCCCGAGAAAACACTTTCTATATAAAACAAACAGAGAACTAATAACAGAAGAAACTAACCGGAACAAAGATTATGATAAGCTTGACGCACATTACGTTTCGAGCAAAGCTGACTGCCAAAAAAAGGGACAAAAAATTTAAAAAATTCACATCAAATTAAAAAGATAACCATCCTTTTCCTAGAAAAGATTACCATTTTGCAGGTTCCGTTAAGGGTTTATATTTGCCGTAACGACGTTTCCAATCGATTTGTTCTTTACATCGAGGACAAACTCCAGTTATTTCAGAGTAAGGCTTTAGCTTTCCTCCAACTTCCTATTAAAAAAATTGAAAATAAAAAATAGATTTCTTTTCTATACACATATAAAAAAAAACAGAAGAAGAATTTGTTTACCGTCTCATTGATTTTACGGCCGGCGTTTGGCTTCCAGGCATAGCGGTTTTGGTGCTTCGGTGGCCCTCGCTGACTGCTCATATTTTGATTGCTGGCCGCCGACTGAGATAGGACAGTCTTGCTTATGTTTGGAATTAACCTAGACACTAGTTTTCTTTTAATGAATTAATAGAATTTGTTTTCTTTTTAATTTATAAAGAACTTTCATCCCTTTTTTTTTATTGGTTAAAAATAACCAAATTTGGTAAGAAAATTTAACTAAAGCACTAAACATCTAAATATGTTTCTTCATGTACCAAAAATAATTATGTTGTTTTTTTATAAAAAAAAAAAAAAAACTTGTGAATTTTTATTATTTAGATAATAATATTTTTAAAATTTAAACTTTAAAAATATTATTATTTTGTTTTTATCTTCAAATAAAACCTTTTGGTATTAGTTATGGAAGTAGAAAGTACACGAATGAAAATAATAAAGTTAAATTTTTAAAATCATTATATTAAATAATTCATTCTTCAATGTATTCGAATCATAAAATTAATTATCAATTGTTGTTTTAAAATTAAATCGAATTGTAAATATATTTGATTTTATTTATATATATTTATTTGTTAAATTTAATAAACGATCATAAATAATATTTTAAGATTTATTAATTAAATTTACAAATTTATTTATATTTATTTTATTTACGATGAAAATAATATAAATAAAATCAGTTTATATTTGATTATACTCGTATATTAGATTTAACGAACAAACAATATTTGAAAGTTTATTAATTAAATAAATAGGTTATGAATATAATAAATTTTGTTTATATTCAATTCATTTATATTTTTAAATAATAATATTTTAACTACCTATAAAAACAAAAAACAAATCCTTAGAGCACTTGTCTCTAGCAACTTTAGAGGAAAATGCATATAAGTACGCTGCATAGTTTAAACTTTTTAAGAAAAATTTTGGGAAAGGTTTCATCGGAAAGCATGGAAGAACTTTTCAAATCTTCATAACTCAAAGAGTCTATTTTGTTTGATTTTTGATTAGTTACATATGGCATAAGTTTTGTAAATGACAATTTTACTGGCAGCTATGATTTGTGAGTAATCATATAATCAAATAATGGGATTGTCCTAATCCAAATGCCATTTGACATAAAAAATCAAACAATTTTATAAAGTTTCTTTTGCAAAAAGAATATGACTGTTAAGGAAATGGAAGAGATGAGAATGCCAAATGCCAAAGGTTAGCACCGAGGGTGTTTGTTAGCTCTCGCTTTTTCTTGTTTCCCAAATGAAATATGGGACATGGGGCGGGGGGATTAATTGTAAGAATTCCATTGAAATTTGAATTCTTTATCAGGCCACTGCCATCGGGGCACAAAGGGGGCCATGTCCCAAAATTTGTGTACCTCTGAAAAACAAAGGGAGGCTCAGGATCACACTGGGCTGGCTTCAGGAATCAGGTCTAAATTGCATTCTCCATTTTTCTACAAGGTTTGTGCAATTAATCATAATGCAATATCCATTTCCATATAATAAAAAAAATCCAATATTCATTGTTTCTCTCATATTATCTACTGCATAGACAATCAGAATAAGAAACAAAATAGCAGATAACTTTTAGCATCTATTCAGTGGCAAAAGAAAAATATATTTTTTTTGAAATGTTTTAATGAACAAAATTTGTTGTTGGGAGGGCGTAATAAGGTATAATTAAGGCATAAGTATAAAAAATAAAAAAACTCCTTAACTAAAGTTAAATAATTATACATATCTTCTATCATTTTATTATAATTAATTAAATTTTTTAATATATACTTTTATTTAATTGAATCATTATTAGATGAAAATTGATTAAACATTGAGACTCATTCTTGTCTAATAATTTGGTGACAATAGATATTTAAGGGTTTAATTATATGAAAATAAATGTTTAAAAGCTTAATTAAATAAAAATAAATTTCATTGAGGTATTAATAAAATTAATTACATATAAAAATATTATTTATTTTAAAGTTGATTTATCGATTATAACTTTTCTTTTTATATTTTTATAGTCAAGATTTTTATTTGAAATATCTACTTCATTTGTACTTAAGTTATTAAGAAAGAAATGAAAAGACTATAAGTATAGTTTCAAGAAGAAATATTTCAATTGAAATAGTACTGTAGACGTTACAATCGAAAAGCTACCTCATGGTGTAATTAGGTAACAATATGAATAATTGGTTAGATTTTGGTTTTTAAGAAAAATAGATATATTAATTTATAACTTTTAGTATTATTTTTAATAATAAAGATTTTTTTTATTTTTAGTTGATAATATTTATATTTCTACTAAATACACTTGTTTTTTATGACAAGAAAAAGGAAAGATTGGGATTGCTAACAAAAAGCAACAAAAATATAATCACATGAGTGGATCAAAAAGCTTTTCAAGAAAGTAAAAAAACAAAGCAAGTTAAGCATTAAATAAGAAACTTAAAGTTTATGTTTGTTTAGAACTTTTATGTCATTAAAGGGTAAAAATATAAATTTATAATTATTTTTCTGTTTTAACAATTTATATAGCTTCAATATATTATATTAAACTCAACCAAATAATTGAACTTCAATTTCACGATTGATATGTGTGAACAAAATTATATATCTGTTTAAGACTTTTTATACCGTTAAAAGGTAAAAATGTGAGTTTGCAGTTATTGTTCTATTTTATTAGTTTAGATAGCTTCATTACATGATATTAAATTTATTTGAATGATTGAACTTAGTTTCCACAATTGATATGTTTGAAAAGTTACTGTTTATGTCTATTTAGTACTTTTTGTGACGTTAAAAGGTAAAAATACAAATTAGTAGTTATTATTATGTTTTAACAGTTTGGATAACTAAATTACGTGATATTAAACTTATATGAATGATTGATATTCTTTTTCAGAGTTGATATGTGTGAAAAATTACTGTTTATGTTTGTTTAGGACATTTTATGTCGTTAAAGGATAAAAATATAATTTTACAGTTATATTTCTGTTTTAACAGTTTAGATAGCTTAAATACATGATCTTAAACTTATCTGAATGATTAAACATGATTTCCACAATTTATATGTGCGAAGTTTCTATTTATGTCTATTTAAGAGTTTTTGTGCCATTAAAAGGCCAAAATGAAAATTTGCAGTTATTATTCCATTTTAATAGTTTGGATAGCTAAATACATGTTATTAAACTTGTCTGAATCATTGAACTTAGTTTCTATAATTAATATGTGTGAAAAGTTACCATTTATGTCTATTTAAGACTTTTTGTGTTGTTAAAAGGTAAAAATACAAATTTACAGTTATTATTCTATTTTAATAGTTTAGATAGTTTAAATACATGATATTAAACTTATCTAAATGTTTGAACTTGATTGCCATGTTTGATATTCTGTTTAAGATTTTTTGTTACATCAAAAGGCAAAAATGTAAATTTACAGTTTGTTATGTTTTAACAGTTTATATTGCTCCATTACATGATATTAAACTTGTCCGAATGTTTGAACTTAATTGCCATACTTGATATGCATGAATAAGTTATAGTTAATGTGTGTTTAATAATAATATGTGTTTTTACATAAAAGATTGAGTTAGGTGAAAAAATTGGATGTGTGAAACTTTTTCAATTAACCTACATAAAAAAAGATAGATCTTATTTGAATGTCGAAACACAAGAAATTGTGATAATTTCTTGGATTCATTTTATATATAAAGTAAATATTTACTATTTCAAATATATTATAAATTAATTTTTAAACTTGCTAACTTAATTTAATTAATTTACAAAAGAAAACAAAAGAAAAAATGACTGTTGAGATTGAAATAACATCGATTGTTTTATCTACATGCAAGAACTAAAAAATCATATTTTCACAGAAGTTATTAAAAAAAAGACATGGATGAGTTTGAGATCTTGAATTGAATCCAACACTATCTAACTACTATGGACATTGCTCTCAACAATTTGCATTCTCAACAAGTCAATCTTTATGAGATATCTTTATATTAAGAGAGAAGTTGCAAATTATGCAATAATGCGTCGAGTAAATAAAAGTAGAAAGAGAAGAGAAGCATACTAGAAATGAAGGAAAGCATGCTAAAATGGATCAAGAGTGTGTAAGATTTAAGCAATTACATGATCAATTTGAAATTTTATGAATTTTATGCACTAACAATTTCCAAGAACCAACCTAAGTGATCCACCAACTCATATATTATATTTAGTAAATATTTATATTTTTTAATATAAAAAATAGCTTATTATTAAATGTAAAAAATTATTTTACTTTATTCAGTAGGTTCTTAAACATGTTAATGATCATCGTGAAAAAAATCTTTCACCAAATAAAAGTGCTCCAAGTCTAAGAGGTCATCAATTTTCATTTATTTTAAATTTTTTATTAATGTATTGAAACAATGTAAATGTTATTGTATTAAATTTTATGTTACATGTATACTAAAACAAATATGTATTTAGATATTTAAATATTTATAATATTCAATTTATAAATTTAAATTTATTTTTATGAATTTAAAAAAAATTATTTATTTTTTGTTTAATTATAATAATAAATATTGAAAAAAAAAAGTAAATTTCATAATTAGAATCTGTTGACCCTTGGACTTCTTCTTTCCTGCTGAGAGAGTTCCAGGAAGCAAGGTAGCCAATTTCTGGAAGTTTGCTTATGAGAGAGAAGCAGCCAGGAAAGCTAAAGCACCTGAACTTGTTGACTTCGTCAGATTGCTTATTGGAGTAAGACTATTTCTAGTCTGACATTTTAAACGAAAAGTTAGTAGTTTCAATTCAGAAAAAATCAAATTGAACCAGTTCTCCCCGGTTATATAGACTTGGAATTTGGATACATAGAAATAAGATTTATACTTAATTCAAGCAAATAACTTGCTTGTTGCTTCTTATACCTTTCTCTCATACTACGAGGTCGATTTCTAATGAGAAATCCTTTGCATTCCTTCTTATGTTTGTCCAAAGAGTTTAATCCGATGGCAAAATAATTGTAAATCCAAATTAGTTGTCTGATCTGGTGTGGAAATAGCTATGGTTAGAGGAGCAGTTGACATGGACTGATCAAATGATAAACCAAATAATTCTCTTA